GACTTCTGGACAGCCGCTCACTGCGGCTGCTGGCTGCTCACGCTGGCCGCTGGCTACACATGGTAGCCCATGGCAACCCACTGCAGCAGAGGCTGCAGCCTACGCCATCGCTGGTGACTCACAGCAGCCCAGCTCCAGGTTGAGCTGTTGTTCAGCATCTTAGCTGTAAAGGGCAATGTCACTGGCCCTCATATGTGGGATCTGAACCGGGGCCCTCTGGCGTCCCAAGCCAGCTCTTAACCAATGCGCCACTCGGCCGGCCCCAGATATTTATGATGACGGCAAACTACTGCTTGAGCAACGTTGATCAAAGTGTTAACATCTCTTAAAATGCATATCCATTTTTTTGGAACCCTGGTATTGTTACAGTTGTTCTATTTTATTATTGTTGTTGTCAATCTCTTACTGTGCTTTATGTATAAATTCAACTATCATAGGTACATATGTATGTATAGGAAAGAACATTGTATATATAGAGTTCAGTACTATTTACGGTTTCAGGCATCCCCTGGGGTCTTGGGATGTATTCCTCGTAGATATAAGGGGGAAGGGACTACTGTATTTCAGCATAATACCTAATTTTTAACATGGGCAACCACTAAACTATGCTTATATTTCTGTTACATATATAGAACCTCAGCACTATTGACATTTTGCTCTGGATCATTCTTTGTCATTGGAGGCTGTCCTGGTCCTTGTAGGGTGTTTAGTGGCATCCCTGGTCTACACCCACTACATGCCTGGAGCTTCCGCTCCATTGTGACCCAAAATGCCTCCAGACAGTGCCCCATGTCCCCTGGAGATGGAAAATCACCGGTGCCTGGAAACGTTAGTTCAAAATTGTCATGCAATATTGATAGCAGGGTGGTTTCTCTCTCCTTTTTTTCTCTATCCAAAAAGGGAGAAATTGAAATCAGCTTTGCAAATAAGCAGTGATCAATTGACAATCCCTCTCATTTCTTCAGAAGACCATGGGGGAAATGCAAACAAATTAGTGAACGGTACAAGGATAAGAGATTCAGGAGAGAATGAGGGGTATTTGAAATACTTTCCCATGTATAATTGGAATCCTAAAGTCACAAAACCTGATTTAGAGCTNGAACGCGTCCAGAGGCGCGCGACGCCGCGGTCCTGGGAGCGCAGAGCGGGGTGCTCCCGCGGCGCCGAGTCCCCGAACCCCACCGCGACGCCGAGCAAGTTCCTTAGCCAGAGACAGGGACGTAGAGTCAGTCCTCTCGGATCCGGAGCACAGTTCTCGCGTGGGGAGGTCCTGGAGGTGCCCCGAGGAAACAGGCCAACGCTTTCGTTTATATTATAGATCTGAAATTCTCCGGGCTGGAAACTTGGCCGTCTTGGGGCCCCTCAGCGAGCCTTGCAAGGGGATCCCCTCACGTTGACTGTCACAGTCTTGGAGACAGTCTTTGTTTGCCTTATGCTTGGGGCTCAGCGTTCGCTGACTCCGTGCACCAGCCTTTTTCAAGGTAGTAAAGCTAAAGGAAATCCGATGAACCGGGCAGGCGTGGACGGGGCTGGTGGCCAGGCAGCCGGAGAGGAGACGCCGACCCCCACTTCGTGCATCGTAGAATCATCTCTGTAGAGTCAAAATCCTTCAATAACCGAGGTGGTGCGGTTGAAACAGAGACAATGTAGACAGCTATGGGGGTCGGGGGTAATCTGAATTGAAGAGCCCAGTCAGGCAGGGAGAGAAATCCCTGAACTAATGTGTCCTCTGGTATTTTATCAGATTTGGGACTTCTCAAAGCCCAGTAACGACGGAGAACTGGGAATGGGGCAGCAGGAAAAAACACAAATGACATTGTGTATCCATAGGCTGAGGACTTGGGAGGACATCCTGGGGTGTCCAGGGACTCCTTTTTTTAAGGCAAACATTAGAAATGATAAGAATAACTCATGACATTTTGAAAGACAGCAGACAATGCTGGGGTTCACTCCTGGTCCCTGCCGTTGCAGCCCTACACCCTGGAGACCTTGGGTCCTGACACCTAGAGATGCTGAGAGGACCGGAACTGGAAGCCCGGTAAGGTGAAGTGTGGGCATCGTGGGTATCCACCAGTTCAGCCAGAAAAGTGGCACCATCTCCGAAATAAAGGGACCATGAAAGGCTCCCTTGCCCTGTCTCTCCTGTGGTCATTTAATGCAGAAGCGCCACAGGGTCTCCAGTAGGAGCCTGTGAGCCAGGCATTGATCAGACCCTAGTCACTTGTAGATTGGGCTCCTGCTTGCTTCTCCTTTCTTGAAAAGCGAGGCCACTCTGGCATAGCTGTTTCATGGGCATTATAAGAGAATTTTTTCCACGTTGGGTTTTTTTTCCTGCATACCAGCAGGTAGAGAGAGGAGGGGAGAAGGCTGCCTCCGTCCCCCGGTTTTCGAGAAAAGCTGAGTGTGCCATTAGTGCTGGCTGGTGCCACAGTGCAAATAAAGGACCAGTTTGGGGTGCCCAGAAGGTGTGGTTAAAAACCCTCACCTGCTGTCTGGCCCTTTCTGAAGCACTTTTGGCCCTGTCTGCAAGCACTCCTGGGGTAACTCATGTTGTCTGAGCAAATACACTCCAGCCAGGGCTTTGTGGGCGAAGATTAATCGCAACCACTATTCTTTTGTTTCCTGCATTGGTAACTACATGACTTTATACTTAATTGAGGTAATGACTTACTTTTATGGAATGCACCTTTCTTTGTTATATTTTAAAATATAAATGGATGACTTTTAAAATGCTGCAGAGTTAATGAGGCTAGGAGAACCATGTATTTAATTTACATAATACATGTGGCATATGTTTTAATGTGCAATAGGATAAGAAACTCAGGTGGGGGAAAGCAGACCTTTCACTGTATCTTGATATTTAGACTACTTTATTAAGTTAGTCTGAACAATGGGAGTTTTAATTCAGTTGCTATCACTTAAAGAATGAAGCAAATAAATATCAAATTAATGAGGTAGACAGGATTTTTTTGTAGCCCAAATTATTATTAAATACATGCAATATCTAAATAATGGAAATCAGTTCCTTCTTTTGCATTCACACCTAAGTTCTTAAACATAAGACTTAAAAGGTGCTTGGGAGAGAGAGAATACAGAAGCTCACAATTTCCTTTTAAATGAAATGTATATGGAGCCTATCAGCTGCAAGAATAAAAATACTCTAGCTTACTTCCTAATGTAAGGCCTGTGGGTTTTTTCCTTATTGTGATGAGAAGGCCATTTGTGAGGAAAATGAAGATTGCAGGAAAATGTGAAGCTGTAGCAACTTTCTAGTTGATCATCATGGCACACTGGATGGAGCAGTTGTGTTCATGGATTTGGTGGGGGAAGGGTAGAGGGTGAGTGCTCCGTGGGGAATGTAGCGCTCGCTGCCCGGATCCTCCGGGGCCATGTCTTTGCAGAGCCCAGTTGGCCGGGCGGAGAGGTCAGCGGCGGGCGACTGCCGGCCCCAGGTACAGCGCAAGGTTCCCGGGGGACTCAGCCTGGTGAGCGTCCTGCTCCCTCACACGCGCGCGATGGGAACGCTTCTTGCTCAACAGCGCCCTCTGCCGACAATGCAGGAGAATTCCTCGTCTCCAGAGCCCAGTTATGCATTTCTCCAGAAATTGTCCCCTAAGCAGCCGAGTCACCCTCACCCATTTGGTGTCCCTACATCCCCTTGAGAGCTGTCCCCTTCCTTTGGGGGAAAAAAATGAACCACAGCTTAAATTTTTATTGACCCATGTTCTATCTCCCTCCTGGCTACTTGTTGACCCTACAAAAGGAGGCAATTTCCTGGAAGGAGATGCCAGGGACTGTGTTCTGGGCCCATCCTCGGCCTCTGACAGCCCAGGATTGCTTAGTGGTCGAGTGAGCCTGAACAGGCACCAACAGAGCTGAAGACTCGTGCAATTTCCTGGAGCCCCCTAAAGAATGCAGTTCGTTATAGAAAAGATTTTGTCCCAAAGAGCCTCATTTTATTTCCCCTAGCTCACCGCTGCGTGCTGTAAAAATATGGCTGGTAAAATGTAACGATGTTTGCTCACAAAGACCACACGTGCACGCCTGAAGGTCCCCTGAAAGATGGAATGACATGGCGATCGTTGGTGACAGACACGCCTCAGAGTCCTTTCTTGTCAGGCCCTAGAAAGTTTTGTGTCATTCCCTCTCTGGTTCCACGAAACCCCATGCAAACCAAGGCCCCAGGGTTTCTGCTCCATTGCCCCCGCCCATTTCAGCTCCCTTTCCAGTCGTCCCCAGGTGGCCTAGAGTGTGGCCCACCCACCTGGCTCTCTCTCTGCTTGTGCCTTGTCTCATTCAGTGCTGTCCTTAGTTGCTGAGACTAACTTCCCTCTCCAACACTCTTGTTATTCAAGTGGTCACCGCCTTCTGGATGCTACTGGAGTGTCCTTGGAATCCATCTTTCCTCTCCCTTCTGGTAGTTGTTACCTGAGTTCAACTATTTATCACCTCTTGCCAGGTGCCTTCAAGCCCTTACCTCCATGATCCAGGCTTTGCACTGCTGCCAGCTGCCCTAATTACTCTTAAAATACAGATCTGACTGTGGAACTCCCCGCTCACAAATCAGTAATGGTCTTTAGTGCCTGTCTCAGAATGAAACCTAGACTCCACAGTGGGTACTCAAGGCGTTCTGTAACTGGGACTCCGCTTTCCATTGGAGCCCATTTACCAACACAGCCTCTCATTCACCCCACACTGGCCTCACCACCGTTCCCCACCAGGGCTCGATTTTCCCACCGCTCAGAATTTGATGGACTTCTCCACCAGGAGTGGTCTCTGAATTGTACACCTGCTGGTGTCTCTGCCGCCGTCCCCCCCCCCACCGTGAAGCTTTCTTGATGCCCCTCCCCACTTAGAGCCGCGAGCATCTTACTGAGTGACCCTTCGTGGTGCAGTTACTTGTCTACTGGTGTGTCTCTCCCCACTGGGTTTAAAACTCCTGAATGGAGGGACCGTGTCGGACTCACTTTTCCCCTTTGAATCCCCCCAGTGCTCTGGACATAGCCAAGGGCACTAAGAGGAAGATGGGCTTCGCAAACATTGCTGAGGTGTCCAAGCTGCCTTGAAAATCTACTGATACTGACAAGTGCAGGCTACTTAGATTTTGTTTTTTTAAATTTCAGGATGCGACCTCAGAGGCTCCTTGACTGTGTGTGTGTGTTTGTATGTGTCTGTCTTTACAGCTTCAGCCTGGGGGTGACCAACGAACTTCTGAATCAAAGGGGGCCTTTGGGTTTCAGCATCCTGTAAGGTAACGTGACTTCACAGGAAGAAATTCATTAATTCCTTTAAATATAAGCATGAATACACTTTAGTGTCTCCAACTGTATGTGTTTTCAACAAAATGGAAGGTAATTCCGTATTCTCCAATGTTATTTAGTTACTATTTATCCAGGGAACTTCACGGAGATTTTGTGGGATTTCTGGGATCCATCCATTCATTCACTCATTCATTCAGTGCTTCAGTTGCAAGTTGGAATTGGCTTGCCTTTCCTTTATACCTTTTTTTATACCGCTCATTACATATTATGTCTCGTGTTAAATTTAATTGAATATGAATTCTATAAGCATATTTGCTTATTTTCTTAGATATTTAGGTACATTTCTAGTTCTTGCCCAGTGGATCAGTTAGTAGATTGTCTGCAGCAAAGTGGACATACTCGCACCTGTTGACTGGATGAGGGGTTGGGTGGGTGCGCCCCACTATTGGTTCCCCTGCCTCTCTCAGTACTGCCTCACGGTCATGGCAGGCAAGGGACTCATGCTTAGGACTTGGACTTGTTCCTCTGTCTCCATCTCTTTCCTATTCCTCTCCATCCGCCTCTCTCCATCTCTCATTCCCTTCACCAGAATGAAACTAGTCGATGTTCCCACCTGTCCTCAGAGGATGTTTACCCTGTGTATCCTGGGAGACTGGAAGCTCTGATAAAACCCAAGATACTAATTGCTGGAGATGAAATGTACAGTCCCTCAGACTGGCTAAAGAGTGACTTTTGGGAAATGGAAGCTTTCCTAGCGTCCATCTGTCAGTGGTTGTGAATCCTCATAGAATCAGTGTGGAGGCTTTCCCGGTACAGAAACAGGGCTGCTCCCTAGGGCCTCTGACACACTTGTTGTGGGGAAAGGCCTCGGTGTCTGTATTTGTACAGGCTCCTCAGGTGAGCCCGGCCTGCAGCTGGCACGATCCCCTCCCTCATGCCCGCTGAGCATCCACCTACAAAACCTGCCATGGGCCTGCCTTGCCGGATGCTCTGCCACTGCTCCCCAATTTTTTTTTTAAAGACTTTTATTGGGGAATTGGGG